GAACTATGAGTATGTTCCCTCAACGGAAAGCTACTTGTGCCTAGTGCGGCTATTGCGGAACCTCGGAAACCACTGTCCCTGCCGAGATTCCGTTAACCTACAAAGACTCTGCCTAGTACGGCAGTCGCTGTTTTGTGAATGTGGTGATGCATCGAGACTCGTTGAATCCACGAGGCTCGATGACTGCGAAGTTCCCTTCTGGGTGTTTTTGCTGTTTGGAGTGTGATGTCTGTCAAGACACTGCCTAGCCCATCCGCTGTGAACCCTCGAAACATAAGTAAGGGCGAAGCCCGTGGCGGCGGCCCGCAATACCCGACAGTATGAACTTCACCCATACAAAAATGGTCGATAATGTATCGTCATTTCAGGTTGAGAGTTTCATCTCAATTGTCATGAACACCTTCTGGAAAACTTTGACTTGAAGCAACTCCCTGCACAGCCAAGACGCCATGAGCAACGCGGACCTCGAAGCAGGCGAACTACACAAAAGCAGGAGCGATAGCCTGCAGTACGACCTGACCGTGGGCAGTGACAATGATGAAACCCTCGAGAAGGACAAGGCTCTAGGTTATTCTATGGGAGCCGGGAAGCGTTTCCCACCGCCGCTTCCTGATCCAGCTGAGTACGTTGTTGAGTTCGACGGACCTGACGACGCCACGCATCCTTTCAACTGGAGCTTTGCCGTGAAGTAAGACCATTCGAGAACAGGGAGAAACTAAGAATCAAAATCTAACACTCCAAGCTAGGCTCTACATCTCCGTCATAGCCTGTGCCGGCACCTTCGTCGCATCCTTCGCCAGCGGGCTGTTCGCCCCAGGATCCGAGCAAGTAGGCAAAGCCTTCGGCGTCAGCACCGAGGTAGCCACCTTGGGAACCACCCTCTACGTCCTGGGCTTCGCAACGGGCCCTCTGATCTGGGGACCTGCTTCGGAATTGATCGGCCGACGGTGGCCCCTGATCCTAGGCCTCGTCGGCGGGGCCATCTTCGACATCGGCTCGGCAGTGGGCAAGGACCTGCAGACGGTCATCATCTGCCGCTTCTTTGCGGGGGTGTTCGGAGCCTGTCCGTTGTCCGTCGTCCCCGGCGTGCTGACGGATATCTACAGCAATGCCCATCGGGGATTCGCCATGACCATCTACGCGCTCACCGTGTTCGTCGGGCCCTTCTGCGCCCCGTTCATCGGCGGGTTCATCACCTCCAGCTCGCTCGGCTGGCGCTGGACACTCTACCTCCCCGCCTTGATGGGCTTTGCATTGGGCATCATCTCCTTTGCCTTCCTGAAAGAAACATACGCCCCGATCCTCCTGGTCGAAAAGGCAGCCGCCATCCGCCGGGCGACCCGCAACTGGGGCATCCACGCCAAACAGGACGAGGTCGAGATCGACCTGACCGCGCTGCTGCAGAAGAACTTCACCCGCCCGCTGCGGATGCTCCTCACCGAGCCTATCATCCTGCTGATCTCGATGTACATGTCGTTCATCTACGGGCTGGTCTACGCCCTGCTTGAGGCCTACCCCTACGTGTTCCAGACGGTCTACCACATGAATCTCGGCATCAGCGGCCTGCCCTTCATCGGCCTGATCATCGGCCAGGTCCTCGCCTGCGCCTTTATCCTCTCCCAGCACTCGGCGTATGTCAAGAAACTCATCGCGAACGGCAACCGCCCTGTGCCAGAATGGCGGCTGGGGCCCGCGATGATCGGTGCTCCGATCTTCACGGTCGGGATCTTCTGGTACGTATACTCTGTATCGGGGTCATGACTCGCACGAGCACCGTACTGATGTGAGGGGGAGAAGGTTTGGCTGGACGGGATTCACACCACGCATCCACTGGATGGCACCCACTGCGGCCGGTGTCTTTGTAGGGTTCGGCGTACTGTGCATCTTCCTCCCGTGCTTCAACTACTTGGTTGATTCGTATCTCCCGCTGTGAGTTAGCTGGAACATTCTTGTTGCTTCTCGGGCAGTGAGCTGACGTGACTCAGGGCGGCATCGACCGTGGCGGCCAACATCATCCTCCGCTCCAGCGTTGCGGCTGGATTTCCGCTGTTCACGAAGCAGATGTTCGAAAATCTGGGAATCCAGTGGGCGGCGACGTTGCTGGGATGTCTGGCGGCCGTGATGATTCCTATCCCCTTTGCGTTTCGGAGGTGGGGCCCGCGGCTGAGGGGGAAGAGTTCGCTTGCTCCTTAGCTTGAATACGCGTTGATAGCATTTGATCTTATAGACATAGGGCTAAGGCCGACCGGGGCTTCGCTCCACACCATGGCTCCAGTCTTTTTCGACAGCCCTAAGCTGCCCTACTTGAAACCCCACACAAAGCTGTACAATACAAGCCAAACAATACATGCACATACCTTGCACAGTACATCCCAATCACCTGAACCAATCCTCGGTATACCACACAAAACACCCAACACAAGCTACACGTCCCCTGGCCCACGGGCCGTCAAAAAGCGAAAATCCGCCCCCTCATGCGCCTGATTGACCTCCCGCTCATACAACCCGCGATACCCGCGCCTGGCCCGCCGCGCATTCCACGTCTCCTCCACCCCTTGTTGAAAAACGGCGACGCGCCGCTCTTCCACCCTCCTCTGCAACTCCTCCTCACTCACCTCCAACCGCAGCACCCTCCTCTCCACATCCAGCGTAATCATATCCCCGGTGCGCACGGCCCCGAACGCCGACTCCGGCACCGCCGCCTCCGGCGCCACATGCAGGACGATGGTGCCCCCGGCGGTGCCGGACATGCGGCCATCCGAGAGGCGCAGCATATCCGTGACGCCGCGGGCGGCCAGCTTACGCGGGATGGGGATCATGCCGGCCTCGGGCATGCCGGGGTTCCCAATGGGGCCGATGCCCTTGAGCACGAGGACGGAGTCCGGGGTCACGTCGAGGTCCGGGGCGTCGAGGCGGGCGGCGAGGTCGCGCGGGCTCTCGAAGACGACGGCGGGGCCCGTGTGGTGCAGGAGGCGCGGGTCCTTGGAGGCCGAGGCCTTGCACACGGCCCCGTCCGGGGCGATGTTGCCGTGCAGCACCACGAGGGAGGCGTTGGGGTGCAGCGGGTCCGCCAGGGTGCGGATGATACTGCGGGAAAAGTCGTGGTCGCGGAAGGGGGTGCTGTCGAGGACCTCGCCCAGGGTGGCGCCGGTGATGGTGCGCGCCGAGGTCTTGAGGAGCGGGCGCAGTCGGTGCAGCAGGCAGAGCATGCCCCCTGCGTTGTGGAAGTCGGTCATGTAGTTGTCGCCGCTGGGTTTGAGGTCCACCAGCAGTGGGGTCGTGCGGCCGATGGCGTCCAATGTGTCCAGGGTCAGGGTCCCGCTGATGTCCGGGTGCCGGTTGATGATGGCCATTAGGTGCACCATTGCGTTCGTCGAGCCGCCGATCGCCTGGAGGACCACGGCTGCGTTGTGGAAGGATTCTGCGGTGAGCAGGGCTTGCGGGGTGCGCTGGTCGCGGTGCTGCGCGGCGGCGACTGCGTTGGCGCCCGTCTGCTCGGCGATGCGCAGGCGGGCGGCGGAGACGGCGGGCGCCGAGGCCCCCTGGAGTGGGATGAGGCCGAGGGCGGCGGTGATGCAGGCCATCGTGCTGGCGGTGCCCATTACTCCGCAGGTGCCGACCTGTGCCGGGGGTGGGGTTAGGGTTTTGCAGTGGGGAAGGGAAGGGGAAGGACTGGGTTACGCACTGTTGGCGCCAGTTCCTCGTTGATCGCTCCGATCTCCTCCATGTCGATTGTGCCCGCCCGGTACGAGGCCCAGTTGTTTCGGCAGTCGGTGCAGGCGCCGATCCGCTTGCCCCGGTGACTGCCAGGCATCATGGGGCCGGTGAGAAGGGGTAGGATGGGCTTGTTGGCGGAGATGCCGCCCATGATCTGAGCGGGGACCGTCTTGTCGCAGCCTGGGGGTAGGATGTCAGCACGATCGCACAGGTTCACGGCGGTCAGTGGGAAGGTTCTCTGGCCTGTACAGACCTCCGATCATAATGCAAGCATCCACAGGCTGAGCACGGATCATCTCCTCGGTGTCCATGCTCATGAGATTCCGCAGGAACATGCTGGTCGGATGGGAGAAACTCTCGTGCAGGCTGATGGTGGGGAAATCGATGGCAATGCCTCCCGCAAGGTGGATGCCTCGCTTGGTCGCCTCCATCAGCTGCGGCACGTTCCCATGGCAGGGGTTGAAGCCCGAGCCAGTATTGATGATGCCGATGATGGGACGGGAGAGCGCATCTTCCGAGTAACCTAGGGCTTTGATGAAGACTTTGCGCAGGAACAGGGAGAAGTGGGCGTCTCCGTACGAGGTGAGCCCTTGGCGCAGCCCGGTGGTGGAGGCGATGGGTTGCTGGAGATCATAGTCCTGGTTTGGTGGTTCCGTTGGCTCCATTCTCGCGTTTAGTGGGTAAACGAAGCTGATAGTTTGATTCCTGATGTTGCCAAACATGCAGCTTTATGAGACAATGCGGGGTCGGCTGGGGATAAACCGAGGCGGAAACTTCTCCGAGCAGCAAAGCGGGAGAGATCCGAGCTCCCGCTTCGACGTTTCTCATTTCCGTCGGCATGGCGCAATGTCATTTACGCCTATCTGGATTCGCTGGAGTCGGAATCGTCCAATGCAGTCTAAACTGCCAGCCTTAGGCATTCTATGGCTACTAGGTACAGTGAGCACAATGTTTTGTTCGCACAAAGACGTACAGACAAAGGAGCATGGGAACCCTAACAATGGATGGAAACATACTGTAGCGAACTGGGGCTCAAAGAAACGGGTAAACATCCCGACCCTCTCATATATCACCACTATCCATCTCAGAACGTGGGCCTTTGTATATAAGATGAAGCTCATTGGCGAATTAAAAGACAACAAAGTGAGCAATATGACAAGGCATGCAACAAATTCGCAGGATATACAGTATAAAAGCCCCCCTCCGAAATCAGTCGTAACGTCGCTCCTTCCACTCAGTCACGATATCTTTCATTTCCGTACGAATCTCACAGCTAGGTCAAAATGGCCACTCTGCAGACAGAGTCTGCACAAAAAGAATTTGCCTCCCAATGCCAGGCCACGAATCTGAACTACGGGCTCCCCGACTGGGACTCGGATACCTCGTCTGACTCTGATAATGAAACCGTCTCGAGCGTCAACATAGTGGGACCCGACGAGGTGTCGCTGGCCAAGATTCCCTACTGGTTGGACCAGACCCCGGGTCTCAAGGCGAAAGACAGGAAGCCCGTGCCTCCGCCGCGGGTGTATTTCCCCGTGGATGCGCCGGACAGTCCCGAGCTGCACCGCCGGATGTCCTATCTGCTTGGCACGAACCGCATTAAGGCCACCGTGGCCGGCGAGATGGCCGCCTCGTACGCGGGCGTGCCAATCAACGTCCAGAATTCCGAATGGGCGATCCCCGAGCCGCTCCTCGACCAGGCGGCGGAGATCCTGCGGGCGGACGGATTCCCGGCCTGCCCGGCCTGCCCGCGCACTGCCGCGTGGAGCGAGATGCTGGGGCAGAGCGACAGCGAGGAGGAGGGGGAGGAGAGCGACAAGGCCTTTTCGGAGGGGAAGCGGCGGTCCCTCCGCCAGAAGAAAGTCCGGTGCGCCGTCCTGCGGCGCGACAAGCCATCGCACCGCGCCTACCCGCGGCCGGCGTATCACTTCCACACCGACCACCGCTACCCCAAGTCGGCCTGGGATCTGGAGCAGTCGCGCGGGGTCTTTCTGTATCCCATGAAGGCTGTGATCCACCCGGCCCTCCCAGACCCGCCCTGCGGCCCGGCAGCGCACGGGGACGAACCGGCCTTCCTGTGGCCGCTGTCGCAGCGCAGCCCGCGGAGCGCCCCGGGGACCTCGATTTACCGAACCACCTCGTCCAGCCATCTGCCCGCCGCGGGCGCCGGGCTGCTTGACTTCCGGGGCCGGCAGAACCCCAAGCATTACCCGGTCAACATGCTGACCCCCGTCAAAGCCGTGGAGAACCTCGTGCGGCTCATCATGCGGCACAGGGGCCAGTGGGTGAACCATTATTGGATCCGGCTCTTCACCGCGTACATGCTCTTTGCCTTCGACGTGAACCACCTCGACGGGGACCAGAGTCTCTCGGGGCGCGTCAAGTTGGAGATGGAAGGCGTCGGCGATTGGCTGGAGCTGCAGCTCGACGACAACACTAACATCGACCGGGCATTCCACGCCGTCTGGCGAGCCATCAAGAATGCCCGCGAACCCCCCCTGTTCTATCGATATGGGACTTGCAACCAGCACGCTCACTATCAGATCTGGCATCGGCAGCAGTGCAGAAGGCCATGGTAGTAGAGACGTGTAGGAATGAAGTTCTGTCTTTGGTTCAAAGTTGCTTATAGATTCATGTTGGTGCCAAGTCAATCAGGGAAACCGGTAGAGGGGATTGCAGAATGCACGAGGTTCCCATGGGGTCGTTTCGGTGGAGGACAGCAGTCTCCGAGGCTGTCTGATGGTTGAGAACAACACCGTCATAATACAGAAAGTAAGAGTCCCAAACACCTTTCAATAATACCAAGTCGCGCCGGTCGGCCGCCCAGTACCCGACTATACCAAAAGTACCAAAAATACCCTCCAAGTACCTCCAAGCGCGTAGTCCAGAGCAATGCGGGACGTATCCGCGTCTACTACCCGATACAGGAACCCCCCTCGGCCCGCTTCCGATCAACGAAGCCGTCTTAAATGTACCCAAATACCCAAAGATGCAACAGGTTCCAACGCAGCAACTCTCACATCAACCTCAATATCCTGTTTATCTACAAATTCACACAAGCATCAACCATGACCCTCGTACACATCGGTCCGTTCCCTCACAACCACCTTCCCAAACCGCACCCATCCTAACCCATGAACCTCCGCAGTCCTCTTCAAATTCCGCTCCGACGTGAGCGAGGAGCACAAAAGCACCTTCGTCACCGAACTCAAGAAGCTCAAGAACCTCCCGTGCGTCAAGAATGGCCGGCTCATCGTCGGGGGACCCAGCGTGACGGACCCGATCGACCGCAGCAAGGGGTTCCAGATCGCGCTGGTGAGCTACCATGAGAATCTGGCGGCGTTGGCGGAGTACCAGGCGAGTCAGGAGCATCACTGGTTGGTCTTCCACTCCCGTGTCAATCCCGTGTGCCCAGGCTAATTGACGGGGACAGGGTGACGTCGACGTATATGTTCCCGTACAAAGAGGACCTCGTGCGGTTCGACTTCGAGGTCGATCCGGAGGATGAGTATATGTGTCAGTTTGCGGTTTGAGTTTGACTACGGGGATAATGGGGCGGAGGCACTGTATATTTGATAGATTTGTCAATAATAGTGAAAATAGATCCGCATAAAGCATACGTTGTACTCCAATCAAAAGACGACAGACTACATCTGCAACCGCAGCGCACTCTTCCGCCACCCCTGCCTCCTCGCCCGCTTCCCACCGATCGGGTTCGGCCTGTTGGTCGTCGTGTTGTACGTCGCCAGCGGATCCAGCACCTCCCACTGCACGGTCCCATTGCCCTCGCGGTAGGTGCTCTTGACCGACCCGACCGTCCTGTACCCCTCCGTCCCGGCATCCACGGTCCCCGTCGCCACGTCCTTGCCCGAGATGACCCGCTCGAACATCTCCAGCGCCAGCAGAGGTTGGTAGAAGGGGACCTCGTGGCCGCTCTCGTAGACGCGCACGAAGGCGAAGCGGCCGGCCTGGCGCACCTGGCCGTGCACCACCGCGTCCGAGGTCGTGATGTTCGTGTAGCCCGCGGCCGCGAAGCCGGGGGCGCCCACCTCGGCGGCGACGGCCTCGCCGCCCAGCCAGTTGCAGTTGTAGTCGGCGTCGCCGGCGTACATGGCGACGGTGACGCCCTGGCGGAGCAGGGCGGCGACGTCGGCGGTGGTGCGCATGCGGCGGCCGTCGTCGCCCGTCGCCGAGAACGCCTCGTACACCGCGTTGTTGCTCTCCGTGAAGTTGACGTACGCCCCGATCGCCGCCTGCACCCGCGCCGTGTTCAGGTAGTCCACGTAGAACTCGTAGGGGAACGGGTCCGGCGTCAGCTCCCGGATGTCGTACTCGTCCCGCCCCAGGTACAGGTCGTAGATGCTCTCCACCTCGTTCGCGCAGAACGAGTCCGCCGTGCTGCAGATCGCGTCCGTGCCGCGCGCCGCGCAGTCGCGCAGCTGGCTCAGGCAGTTACCCGGTCCATAGACGTTGTTGTACAGGAGGGCGCTGATCGAGGCGTTGTAGGGCCGGTAGTCGTAGGTGTTGCCGGGGTAGACCTGGTGGTTGGGGGGGAGGGTTAGTGGGTCTTTGAATGTGTATATGACGCAAGGAAGAGAGGCTCACGGTGAAGTTGTAGTAGGCCTGGTACTGGATGATCGGGTCGTACCATCCGTTCCCGATCATCACGCTCTCCAGCTGGATCTTCTTGGCCCCGCGCGGGAGATGGGCGTTCTGCTGCTCGATGTACTCGTTGAAGACGGGCCCGTAGTGGCCCCCGTAGCTCTCGGTGGTGAAGTGGAAGGATTCGCGCGAGTACTGCGGGAATGCGCCCATGAAGCCCTGCAGCGCCCGGTAGAAGTTGGGGGCGGCGTTGTCGGTCGAGTTGGCCGTCAGGCTGATGTTGGGGTACGAGTAGGTGCCACACGAGAGGCCGACCGCATAGTCCGGGCAGCTGGTCGAGGGCAGGCTGATCACGTTGCTGGTCTCGGAGTCGACGTAGCCCGGGACGGGGATGCTGTAGGAGAACCCGGTCTGCACCGGCTGGTCGATGTACAGCATGTTGCTCGCATTTGACCACGAGTACGGGTTGTTGTACACGGAGCCATTCGCGTCGACTCCACAGGGGCCGTTCTCCTGGAAAAGGCCGATCATGGACGACGACCCGGGACCTGGTAGTTCTGGCATCAGAATTGTATAAGAAGCGATAGTTCACCGGGGTTGGTCTACCTCCATTGATCCACACCGTCAGCGGGGCGTCGTGGGGATCCTGGTTCCGCGCTTCAAAAAACCAGAAGAAGATGTGTTCGTGCTCGGCCACATCGAGGTAGCCAGAGAAACTCTTCACGCTGGGATCAGTTTCGCAAATCCCGTTGGGGACCTGCTTGTACCGAACGGGGACATCGAGATAGCCTTTGGTGGAGATCAGGTCCGTCGGAGGGGCAACAAATTGGGCCTGGGTGAGTGGCCAGGCACCCAGCAATGCGACAGACCAGAGAGATCGCATTGTTACGATGCTCTAAACACTGGAAGTACAAATTATTCTTGTATCGTATTCAATGGCAGTGGGTGGGCTTGGCTTGGCTTTTATGCTGGCATCACCCGGCGTTATCTCCAGGGTATCGGGGAAGATGAAAGGAGTGGAGCCTGGAGGAGGTTGGAGCAATGCAATGCAGTGGAGTCAACAAATTGCCCCAATTAGCGGTGTAACCTCGGCTCTGGACGCGCAAATCAGAGGGTTGCCTTCCCCCTCTTATCAGCACAATGCGGATCAGATTGCATCACCTTGCTATCAATTAAACTCCTTTGGGGTATTTGTTGATGATTGCTCGATGCTTATATGTAATGCTCCTCCGGAGTCCGTAGGAGATATTTACTGTCTAGTTAGATTATATGTCGTCACTTAAGCATTGCATGCATTACGCAGCACAATAAATCCACAGAACTTCAAGCCAGCAATGATTATCCGCAATGACTAAGTTATCCCTCGCAACCACAACATCTATTTTCTCACACTCTCCCCGTTGACGAGGTGATGCCTCCATCTACCACCAATTCCTGCCCCGTGATATACCGGGCCTCATCCGAGGCAAGAAAGACCGCCGCATTGGCTACATCCCAGGCATCGCCCATGCGGCCCATGGGCACCTGTGCGTCCCGCTTCCGCATGTACTCCTCCTCATCCCCGCCGGGCGCATACCGCTTCGCCAGTTGCTGCGTGTACGGGGTATAGATCAGCCCCGGCACCACCGTGTTCAACCGCACCTTCTTGTCCGCATAGATGACCGCCGTCGCCTTGGTGAACTGCATGATCGCCGCCTTGGTGGCCGAGTACGCGACCTGCGGCTTGCCGATGTACCGCAGCCCCGCAATGCTCGACACATTGACGACCGATCCCCCGGTCGCTTGCTTCTCCATGAGCGGCAAGACATGGTGACAGGTCAGATAGATGCTCTTGAGATTCAGCTCCACCTGCGCGTCCCAGACGTCCTCGGCCATGGTGGCCGGACCCCCCGGCTCGGACTTGCCGACGTTGTTGACGAGGATGTCGATGCGACCGTGTTTGCGCATGCAGGCGTCGACCAGCGCTTCTACGGAGGCGGAGTCGGTGACGTTGGTCTCCTGGACATCGCACACGCCGCCGGCCTCCTCGATGCGGGACTTGGTGCGTTGCGCGGAGGCGAGCGAGCGGTTTCCGCCGTAGATGAGGGCGCCCTGCTGGGCCAGTTTGGCGGCGATGGCCGCCCCGATGCCCCAGCCTTCCTCGGTGGTTTGGCCCAGGCCGGTGATCAGGACAACTTTGCCGTCTAAGCGGAGCATGATGTGATGTGTGGAGGTGAAAGGAATATTTTAATATTTTAGGTATACTTTGCAAGAAGAAAAGCCAAGCTACTACAGACGGAAGCTCTGCCCACCGGCTCTTATCAGGGCTTATCGTCGGCGGATCGTATCCGCTACCCTCGGATGCTGTCCGGTCCGCATCCGCCACGAGGACCACAAAGATTGAGACGGATTAAAACGGGCTAACGGATTTTCCCCGGCCGTGCTAATCTTCGCATCCAAACCCTTCGCGGCGAGTCTCCGTTTGATCCATGCATTGGTTGCATAGTGCCTAATGCCAGACTCTTCTCCATATATTGCACCTGATGGACTCCCCCAGACGCGCGCGCAATCGCGCCGCCTGCAGACGCTGCCAGCGTCGCAAGATTCGTTGCGATGGCATCACCCCTACCTGTGGCGCATGCCGGAAATCGGGCGTTGCTTGCGTTAATGATGGAAAGCAGGAAGTACATCGCTCGTTCGTCGCTGCCGTAATTCGAGGGCCTAATGACCCATACTAATACGATAGCTGTAGGTACATTGCGAACATGGAAAACAGGATCAAGTGGCTGGAGTCGATTGTCCGGGAGAAATGCTCGAATGTCGACCTGAGTAATGGCCCGGAGCGGCACTCAGAGACCCTAGACGAGTCAATCATGGAAGATAGTTTGCAGCAGAACCATGCATCGCCGCAAGAATCACAGCAAACCCCTCTTGAAGCCAGTCAAGCCACTCTGCCGACGCCCGATCAGTCAGTTTCCCAGGCTACAGCTGTCGTGGCGGAGGCGAACGCAGCTAGCCTACCCACCCCCGACCAGTCGATCTCGCATCCTGCCCCCATGCAGGACGAGCCCCACCAAGCCCACGAGATCGGTCTGGTGTCTCTCTCCCGTGGGAGTGATCCCCGTTACATCGGCCCTTCGAGCGGATACTTCTTCGCCAAGCGCATCTTCTCGAATACAGGCTGGCGCGGCCGGCAGGAATCCTCCTCCCGCGGCAATCTGTCTCACCTCCCCGTCGAGTTGCTGAACCCGCCAGCCACGCTGCCACCCCAGAAGGAGGTCGCTGTCGAGCTCTCGACCACGTACTTTCGAACCGTCCACCTCCTGTACCCATTCCTACACGAGCAGCGTCACATTGAACTGCTGAACGAAGTGTACAGCGCCCCGGAGGAAAACCCAACCAGCACGTTTCAGGTGTATATGGTTTTGGCGATCGCGTCCCTGAACCTCTCCCGTCAATGCAAGCTCCAGCTCCCGGTGGAAGGCTACTATGCGTCAGCGATGAAGTACGTGGACTACGTTTGCCACGATGGGTCGATGGCTGCGCTGCAGTGCTTGTTGCTGCTCATGGTCTATGCCTTGTACAACCCCTCTTGCAACGTCAACATCTGGAATCTGAATTATCAGTGCCTGGCAAGCGTGATAGACTTGGGGCTGCAACGCGACGTTCGCGCCTCTCCGTCCTACCAGATTTCTCTGTTCACCCAGGAGATGCGGACGCGGGTGTTCTGGGTGGCGTACACATTTGACCGCACGGTCTGCACCATGATGGGTCGACCGATAGGACTCAGGGACGAAGCGTGTGAGATTCGGGTACGCCTGAGCCTTCATACTACACTCTCGTAATTACTATTGATGCTGTACTAACCATTGACAGTTCCCCTTGGATATCCCCGACAGCAACCTCATGAACCTCACTGCCAAGCCGCCCGTATCGCTGGAAGCGCCATCCCACATGTCCTATTCAATCCATCTCTTCAAACTG